TCATTATCAAATCTGCTGCCCCAAAAAATCATTATCGAATTTCAAAACATAAAGAGATATACATATAGAAAATAAGTTTGGGATTTCTTTTGGCAATTTAACTAACTATAATGAAATTATTAATAAACTTTTTTTATAAATATATTAATATTTTTAATATTAAAAGTTATTATACGAGTAGGCCATTTTAAAATAACAATCCTTGCATTTACCAAATAATAATAATAATAATAATTCTTAAAAATTTATTAAACGTAAAAATACTCCAGAAGGTGTGAAAAAAATACAGTGAAACAATTTCACATCAATTTAATTAGGTACTTCTAGATTAACTACGTTGGATGTAGGAATCAAACTCTACATCTGTAAAATTTATTATGAGAAATCTTTTAAAAGAGAGAGATGAGTATAAAAACTATGAAAATGTTATCATTACATATTATTAATTGAATAGTGACAAAAATCCTTCTTTAAGTCTCTAAATGTATCCCAAAATAACATTTAAGTTCGTGAATTAGAAATAAAACTGATAAATTCTTTAATTTTATTAATGATACAAATAAGCCATTTTACAAAAACATTTTCATTACATATTATTAATTAAATAATAACAAAAACCCTTCTTAAACCCCCAAATATATCCCAAAATAACATTTAAACCCATGAACTAAAAATGGAGTAGATAAATCCTCCAACCCCATTAATGATACAAATGGGCCATTCTCACAAATGAGCCAAGAGGTATTTCACATTTAATATCAATAACCTTGAAAGCATGAATACTCATAAATGAAAAAGACTTATTTGCATCATTAATGAAATTAAAGGGTTTATCTATTTCATTTTTAGTTTAAAAGTTTAAACGCTATTTTGGGATAAGTTTAGGGGCTTAAGAAGCATTTTTGCCTTAAATAATTGTTTAACCGAAAATCTCACCAATTTCTAAATTTAATCTCTACCGTTCTTCCCAGAGATTCCACCACGGTCCAGCGTTTTCAACAAATGTAGAGAATTTTTTTTCTTGGCCTTCCTAAAACTATAGAGAACCTGTTCTCATTTTTACAATATTTGTTCCCTTCATTCTGTTAAATTCAAATTCTCTCTGAAACTTACAAAAATTCATTCCAAATTCAAAGAGGAAAGTACACTCAATTCAAGTTATAATGTCAAGCAATTGAACAGTTGATTCCATCATTTGCCACCTATATCAAAATCAAGAAACATGCAATTTACAGAATCAAATCAAAGTTTTCAGAGGCTGTGACCAACTTTTCTAAAAGATACAACTGAAAGTGAAAATTTCTAGAACTATCAAAGTGCTCCATATTCTTTGTTATATTACTAAATGTAATGCCATCTAGAAGTGGTAAACAGCAAGAACATATGAGAACAGGGCAAAGTTGTGAGGATTTGAATATACATCCAAGCATTTAGATGCTCTCTCTTGCATATCCACTGGTCTCCTCCGCGACCTTTGCCCACACGTTAGAGATTTTTTCAGCATATCCCACCTGTTAAATTCACAGAAATGTGAGCAAGGAATTTGCCATGTTAAATGCAACAAGCTAGGATGCTAAAAGAGTCACATGCATATGCAAATCTCAAATCCCATCCTGGTAAAGAGATATATCCCATAAACCACAGCCAACCTTCATTTATTATCATTTTTATTTTGAGAGACGGGGGTTGTTGGATAGTAATTGAAGGTTAGTTCAGAAGTCCATTTTACTGAAACAGCACAGTGCGCTTCCAGATTATGAGAAGATTCAGAGCCAAAGAAATGCTTGAACCTTGTGGGAAAAAGCTTAGGTTCCGAAGAAAATATTTGGGCATGCATTAGCACTACCAAGGGAGTTAATAACATCAACTTTACCAGACTTAGAAAGTCAGAGGTAAAAAAATAAGAGGAGGAGAAGAGACAAGACTAATCCTGTCTAATCCTTAATTGCAACTTCTAAAGTTCTACTGCAGAGCATATTCTCATTGAATTCAAGTGCATTACCACCCATAAACATAAAAATATTGGGTCAACACCCTTCTAAACAAATATTTTTACTTTAGGCCTTAAGCATCAATCTCAAGACCATTCAATCAAACTATCTAAATAATGTGAATGATAATAGGTCAAAATTATAAACACAGTAGTAGATGAATAAATTCATCATACTCATCTTCTAAAGATATTACATTCTAATATGGTTAAGAAATAAATGAAAGACTTAGATGAAGAATCCCAATTTAGAGTTATCAGATCTGAGATCTCTACTATATAGCCATACAGTTACACTGTGTGTATAAAAACAGTGATAAAAGTACCTGATTAACTACAAATCCCTTCAACATGTTCAAGAAATCGGCACGCCTTTCTACATCAAGTCTTTCAAGCTCTATCTTGTTATTTTCCTGCAATTAGATCATTATCAAAAATGAGAAGAAGATGATAAAGATAACCATGCAATTATTTTGCGGTTTGATTCAACAACCTCTCAGCTCCCATAAGACAAGACCATGCTCTCCCTCCACATGATTAGTTCAGGAATAACAGAAAGGGAATTTTGGTAATTAATTACCTTAATACGCTCATATTCTCTAATGGCAACATTTTTAGCATCTTCAGTTGCCCTAATGGTTTCTTTCAACTCCTCTATCTTGCGAATCCTGGACTTGTCACCACCAAATATCTTTGATGATGCAGCTTCAAGTTTTTCAATCCTTGAATTCAATGAAGATAATTCTGAAAGGAGAGTCTGCACTGTCAATAAAGCACTTGACCGATCTGAAAACGCACCATGGACAGCTAGCATCAGGCCAAGATATTCATGAAGCGTATCCTGCAATGCACACAAAAGACATTGCATCATGAACAACAATTCATTTTACCTTTTCATTTACAATTCAGTATTTGGTATTTGTGAATTAATTAACGCAATCACTAAGATTCAATATATCAGAACTAACTTTTCCACGGTCAGCAGTATGTATATAAGTACAAAAAACTCTCCTTTTTTTTTTTTTTTTCTGGTGTTCAAAAAGATAATACAGAGTAAAAAGCATTGCATATTACCAAATGCTTCACTGTCTGAGCATTCAATTCTCGATAGAATCTGCTTGCTTTGACAGCAGCAGTTGCCAAAGCCTTCATGTCAGCAGCCCGTACTCTTTGAGAGTTGAACATAGCTTCCTCATTCTCAAACTTGGTCAGTTTGATAAAAGCTAATCCTAACTCTCCCATTGTTTCTCCCATATCTTGCTGAGCTTTAACGATCCCTTCAGCCTTAACAAATTCACAACATTTAAACAAATCAAAGAAAAATCACTTCATACCACAATGTAATTATAAACGTGGGGAGAGACCATTATTTATTACTACGCATGTTTTACCTGCTGAGATGCATTGCTGAGTTGCTGCTCAAGATCATGAATCCATTCTTTCTTCTCCAAGAATTCTTTATCTTCCTCAACCACTGGGGGTTTTGTGCCAGCCCAATCATTAGCAACCGACTGCTTCAACTCCTTGAACAATCTCAGCAAATCCCTCCCACCTTTTGCAGGCTGCACTACCTCATGTGGCGCCACCACTGTATTGCTTTCCCCAAACAACTGCTTGGGCAGCTTCACTGCGCCATCAAGCATCCTAGAGGCCACATCAGTGCTAGTGGGCAGCGGCAACTTTCCTTCCACCTGCAGGAACGCCTTCAGCTCATCGCTCAGCCTAATCACAGGATGTGCCGCCAGTCTCCTCAAGTATTTCTCCAATGCAACCCTCCTCTGCTCTACGAATTCTTGCTTCTGCATCACCTGAGATTCGACTACATTTTTATCAGGTCTGGGCGGTATAAAAAACCCTCTGTAAGCTTCTGCTAGCCGATCTGCTAATGTCACAACATCCTTAAACCTCCTCCTCACACTGAATTCCGATCCTCCATGGTCCGGAATGTTGGTTCTTGTGGTAATCAAATAAGTGACGAAAGTGTTACCTCCAGGCACCAGCGAATTAGCAGTGTCTTGTTCTTTCTGCGGATTTGAGACCGTAATTTTGATATAATCGGAAGTGGATGAAGGCGATCGGGAAAGCACCAAGAACGAATCGGAATTCTGAGAGTTGGTGTTGGAGTCGACGCCGCCGTTGAATTCACTGACGGAACTCTCGTCAAAGGGGCTGAAGATGACGTCCGCATAAGACGGAGGCTCGATGTAAGAGTGGCTATCATTCGAGTTACTGCTGCGGTAAGGCGGGGGCACAAGGAGGGGATCGGAATCGGCAGGCGTGACGATGATCGGCGGAGAAAGCGTATGGTGCGTGGTGCTAGCAAGTGAAGACGCAGCACTGCGGTAATTTGAGTAAGAGACGCTTTTACCGTTGTTGCCGCCGTGATCCGACGGGTCGTCGAGAACGAGACTTTCCATCTCTTCCCGTGTGGCGAAGAGGTGAGCTTCTTGGAAGCCCTGGTTCTCAGAGCCCATCATCTTCACCGAATCAATCCACCAAAATGATGAGATCAAAAACCAGAAATAAACAACAAATTCAATCAACAGAGCTCAGAAATGCATTAGGGTTTTCGATTTCGAGGTTCACAGGGTGCCCTTCTAACGTCCGCAGTGCAGAACAGGGTGGGCAGGGCCGCCGGCTACGTTGGGTATGAGAAGGGAATTGGATCGAGGAGGAGCTGCACGTGGCTGTGCCTCGGGCCTTGGTGGATAGGGGGATGCCGTTACCCGTGAGGAAGAAACAGAAGAAACGAACCCTTTTTTTTTTTATTTTAGGTGGGCTTGTTTTGGGTCTGGGAATGGTTCGTGGAATTCGGATGTGATATGGTGCATTTTGGATTATGGTATTATATGATGCGACTGGCCTACAACACTTAGATTGATTATTATT